CTCACTCCGTCCAATAAAAATAATCAAATCATACAAAATATTATCACTTTTTGTAAACGTATTACATTTTAATTATGATAGTTAGATTAGGCCGGTTAGGGTAACTTACTACTGAAGTAGAAATTTGTCAAACATAAAGATTCAAAACCAGTAAATTTGTGTTTTGCTATAAACACCAAAATTACCATTAAATTGGGAAGACTGATTAAAACTGGGAATGGTGTCGTACTGATAGATATGTGGGTCCTCCCCTCTGTGGAGTTCAGATACTATTATCGACTTTTACGTATTTACATGACATTTCGTATATGGTATGCTTGTAAGTGTATATTTGAATGTATTTAATAATATTGGTAGAAATTGTACTTGCCAGCGTATAAAGTTTTAATTATTAAAAAGTGTAAAAAATCATTATACAACTATTGGTATATCCCGAATTGAAAAATAAAAATTATTTCCAACAGATCGCGTTTTCTTAATTTGCTATCCCAATATAYATTATAATTATTAAGATCAAGTTGTACCATCATGCTTTAAACTAAATTTGTCTTAAATTCGGATTAATGCCAAAACWTGTGATGTGTAAGAGTTAAGCACATAAACCCAGCTTAAAARAGAATAGACCGCCGATATTGAACTAAGGTGTAGCAAAATTTTTGCCATATATCCATACATTTTAACAATCATAAGACTGATTATTTGTGTTAAGTCAATCTACTGGACAAAGAATCATTTAATCGTKTAATTTAAGAATTACAAAATATRTAAGGATTTTGTTGAACTTGATTGCTAATGAACCGAATGTCAAGAATGTTCAGGAAGTGATGTACAGATTATTTTCAATATCTTCATGATTTTGAACTTGTTGAACGTTGTCGCCTATCAAAACTAGCAGTTGGTGTGTACATTATCTGATACAGCCAAAAGTCAAGCATCCAACAGACAGGTAATATAAAACTTACTTTTATTTAATTTTTAAATACCTGTACATTTTTCAAATTAATATTTTATAATTGGCACTTGAATAATGGATTTTGAAAATCCTTTATTTCAAATAATTCCATTCTTTTGGTATGCTTTTAATTCATCAGTTCTTCCTGAAGCCCTATAAGTTTTTTTGGACGAGGCTTATTTAGTAAGCTTATTTTATAACATACGGTTGTTGCGTAACGTATATTGTGATATTTTAATTATTTTAATTAAATCTAGGGTTTCATTTTGGGATTACCTGTAAACCATTGAAAGCAAGAAAGTAAACCATCAAATTAAGTATAACACATTTTGAAAAAAAAAAGCTTGAACTAAAATGTATTTTTACTAACTCAAAATATCAAGGYTTTGCACCCAAATGATTTATTCGGGTTATGGTTTCGGGTGCTTTAAAGAAAAATAGAGGTTGTGGTATCAGGTTTCTTAATTTTAAAGAATATGGGTTTTGTTTAGCCAGTATATTTATTTGGGTTATGGGTTATTTAATTAGAGTGATATATCAATTTTGTTGAGCATACATTTTTWAATTTGATTAAGCAAAGTTTTAAGTTATATAATAAATTTTTCAGTACCAATGTCTAATACAGTAGTACCACACTTAGTATAATTAAATTCAATATACATTTTAATATTTAATATTTTACAATATTAAATATATGATTTAACAACAAAATATTAAATAATAATATAATACATTATTGAATAAGATATTAAAATTTCAATTTGTAGAAATGAATAAACATCTATATTTAATTTGAAAAAAACGGTTTATTAATTACATGAGACTGAACAGATACAGAACAACACTGGGGTCCGAGACTACTCGTTGTACATATGTGATAACACAATATATTGATAATACAACAAATACCTATTAAGGTTAGATTACAGTGCCTACAAATTTGAATAAATATATCTATAAATTATTGATTATTCCTTATAATCAAAATGTAATAACTATTTATCTAATTTATAAGAGATATATGAAGATTGGTTGCAAATTGCAATACATTTTATGCTTGAATAAAATAAAAATTATAGGTAAATAGTTAAATTTCAAACTGACACACATACTTACCAGTGTTAACATTTAGTTTAAAAAATTGATATACACCACTACATTTTTTTCTAGGCATTTTAAAATTTAAAATTATTTTAATATAAATGAAGTAGAAAAGTACGTACACAAAACAATTTTCACTACTAATAATAAATAATATTATATAAAAAGTTTAAAAATAACACAATTC